TGCTTTTGTTTCCACAGAAAGCCAGAGGCTATGGGTTTGTTCCAGATTAAGATACATCAGGTTTGACCAGTCAAGGCCCCCTGAAAGGTCTCCGATGACACCAAGGCCCAGATTACTCAACATCCAGAACCGTTTCAAGGACATTGGCTCAGACGATACACCCTCACAAACTACTCCATAATCCTAAAATTTTCTTTGTGTCCCCACAAGATACAGAGCCCCCCTCCAGCAGGAAGTAGTAAGAGAAGCTACACCCAAATTCCCAAATATACCAAGCTGGCTTTGGAGATGTATAAAAGTTAAAACCTTCCTCTTTTAAAAAAAAAAAAGAAAAAAAAAGAAAAAGAAAAGGGGAAGTGCTGTGGGATGGTCTGTATGTCAAATTACTCTGATTGGTCAATAAATAAAACACTTATTGTCCAGTGGCCAGGCAGGAAGTATAGGCGGGACTAACAGAGAGGAGAAAAGAAAGAACAGGAAGGCAAAAGGAGTTACTGCCAGCCGCCGCCATGACAAGAAGCATATGAAGATGCCGGTAAGCCACGAGCCACGTGGCAAGGTATAGATTTATGGAAATGGATTAATACAGTTTGTAAGCAATATAAGTCTCTGTGTTTATTTGGTTGGGTCTGAGTGGCTATGGGACTGGCAAGTGACAAATATTTGTCCAGACTGTGGGCAAGGCAGGAAAACTCTAGTGACAAACTGTCAGTCTCCTGGGAGAGGTAACTGTATCATTTGTTGCCCAGTCTCTGCATAGTTTGAAAGTGCAGCGCTTGTCTCAAGTCCTTGCTTGAGTAGTCTGTGGGGCTAGATCATCTCAGTTAGCCATCTCAAAATTGTCCTGAGCAGTTTGTAGTCCAAAGCCAATCTTTGGGTGGTGTTTTTCAGTTTTGTGGTATTATTATCGTCCTGATGGAATCCTCATTGTGGGGCCCCATCATCTTTTTGGAGACTTCAAATTTGCTGTTAGGCCTGGTCATTGTTCACTGTAGAAAACTGATAGAGACTCAAACTCAAAAACATGTACAAGCAGCTAGATGAGGCATTTTTCTAGAATTAGTTAGTACTCTGTATGACCATTAATATCATGACAAAAGTTTAATATATAAATCTTATAAATTTTGATATAAAATTTATACCTTAAGAAAAGTTTTAAAGAATCAAAATAAAATCAAAAAATTGTGAGATTAATGGCAATAGAATATAGTCCCTTAAGTTTGGTTTTCTTCTGTCCCATATCAGGTGGCTCTTCTGACATTATGCTGAGATTTTGTATTTTCTTTTAACAAGCATGCTTGGGTTTAGAGAAGGAGAGAACCATTCTCCAACTCCAAAGCCAGCTTTAATTTTTAATTAAGCTGGGACTACACAGGTCCAGAAGAAGCTCAGGACAAACGGCTGACTTTCATGCCAACTAGCATACCAAATGCATGCTGGCCTCCAGGCTCACTCAGCACCTGTGACTCCTCTCAGCTCTTCTTACCCTGGCCCCTACTCTAAACTTCTCCAGCTCAGGGCTTCCCTTCCCCCAGTCTCTCATTCCTACATAACCCTGACATTTCAGCCATGCTCTCTCTTTTATTTTCCTCTCTTTGTCCTCCTCTCTCACTCTCCTCCCCTCTTTATTCTCTTATGGCCAAGTTGAATCTACTGGCCATATTTAGTCTACTACTTTCTCTCCCTGATAGGGACTCTGTAAGATGCTTCTGGATGTACTCTCCTTCATATCTACAATAAAACCTTCCCCTCAAACCTACCTTGGAATGGTCATGTCCTCACTTTATTCACTGACCAAACAAAAACTGACTCAGGCCTTATAATTAATTCATCATTCATTTCTCTTGCCCACTTTTATTTATTACATTAATATAGACTAATATAACAGAGGCTCCCAAGCATCTCCTCTTCTGCAGAGAGAGGCCCACTGTGACAAACTAACTAACATTCATGAGGTTCAGCTCCTCTGTGATTCCTCTGTGAAGCTCCTCTCTGCCCTTTCAGTTTCATTCATATTGCTTTAAACACAGACCTATCTATCCCTCTTACAGGAGGTCTGGTGTAATGGCTGTGTCTTCAGAGTGCCCAAAGACTTGGCAGCCTCTGCAGCCTGTAGATGTAACCATCTTATTAAATAAGAAACACAGAACCAATGCAGAGATGAAAGCCCAAGAGGTCAGACCTAAGAGCCTTAGCCTTCACTGCTGCTGTTGTCCTCTTCAGCAAGAGACCTACTTCCTGTCTGTCTTTTTTTATAGACTTTCTATTCTGCCTTCTCATTGGTTGTAAACCCAACCACATGACCTCCTCGTCGCTGCCTGTCTGTACAGACCTCCAGGTCTTCTATGGTTGGTATTGAGATGAAAGGTGTGTGTCTCCATGCTGGTGGTGTACTTGAACACACAGAGATCCGCCTAGCTCTGCCTCCCAAGAGCTGGGATTAAAGGCGTGCACCACCACCGCCCAGGTTCTGCTATGGCTTGCTATTAGCTCTGACATCTGGGCAACTTTATTTATTAATATACAAATAAAATCACATTTCAGTACAAATAAAATATCACCACATTAGCCTCATCTCTGATTGTGTCTCAGCTACAGGAAGATATAAATTGAATCATGGAGGGGGTGCAATAGAGAGGAGGAGATAGGGAGTGAGAACATGCGGGAATGGGATGGTCACATTGTGGGAGGGATGGAGTAGGGGAGCAATGAAAGAGATATCTTGATAGAGGGAGAGATTATGGGGTTAGGAAGAATCCTGGTACTACGGAAAACCCCAGGAATCCACAAAGATGACCCCAGCTTAGACTCCTAGCAATAGCGGAGAGGGTGCATGAACTGGCCTTCCCCTGTAATCAGATTGGTCAATACCCTATGTAGAGCCTTCATCCAGTAACAGTTGGAAGCAGATGCAGAGATCCACAGTCAAGCACCAGGCCAAGCTCTGGGAGTCCTTTCAAAGAGAGAGAAGAGGGATTATATGAGCAAGGGAGGAAGTGGGGGAAGGGGAGAAAGGGGGTCAAGTTCAGAAACAACTGAACCAAACTTGTGGGAACTCACGAAGTTTAGACTGACAACTGTGAAGCCTGCATGGGACCAGACTAGGCTCTGTGCAAATGGGAAACAGTTGTGTAGCTTGGTCTGTTTGAGGGGCTCCTGGCAGTGGGATCAGGATCTATCCCTGGTGCATGAGCTGGCTTTTTGGAGCCCACTACCTATGGTGGGTCACCTTGCTCAGTCTTGGGGGGGAGGGGCTTGGTCCTGCCTCAACACAATGTACCAGGTTTTGCTGACTCCCCATGGGAGGCCTTACCCTTTTGGAGGAGGGGATAGGGGGAGGTTGGGGAAGGGGAGGTAAGGGGAGGCAGGGGGAGAGTGGTAGGAGGGAAGGGAGGGAGAACTGTGGTTGGTATATAAAATGAATTTTAAAAAATTCTTTAAAAACATTTGAGGAGGGGCTGGAGACATGGCTCAGAGGTTAAGAGCACTGGCTGTTCTTCCAGAGGTCCTGAGTTCAATTCCCAGCAACCACATGGTGGCTCACAACCATCTGTAATGAGATCTGGCTCCCTCTTCTGGCCTGAAGGGACACATGCAAGCAGAACACTGTATACATAATAAATAAATCTTTAAAAAAAAAAAAAAATTGAGGAGCTGAAGAGATGGCTCAGCAGTTAAGAGCACTAACTGCTCTCCTAGAGGTCCTGAGTTCAATTCCCAACAACCACATGGTGGCTCACAACATTCTGTAATGAGATCTAGCATCCTCTTCTGTCCTTCAGGCATACATGCAAACAGAACATAAAATAATTATAACTGCTAAATTCAAAATAATTTCAATATGAGGAAGTATGTATTTATTTTAGAAATAATCACACTATTTATCTGAAATAAAATGGATTGCAAAAAAAACTAAATGAAGTAGGAATAGAGAACTGAGAAATGTTATTTTCCTAAATGAGATAAACTTGCATTTTTTTCTAATAATGAAAACATAGACTCAAGACAGGCCCAGTCTATTAGAACTTCACATTTTTTATTTTATTATTTATTTATTTTGCCTATATGCATTCAGCACAAGTTACAAGATCACAGGACAACTTTATGGGATTGGTTTTCTTCTTCTACCATGTGAATCCAGGGGTCAAACTCAGGTCATCAGACTTAGTGGCAGGTACCTTTACCTTCTGAGCCATGTCATTGGCCCTAAACATATACTTTAATAAAGAGTAGGCATGTCTTACATGCTGATACACAACTCTAATTTGAGCTATCTGGGGATTACATGGAGATCTTGTTACAAAACAAAATTTACAAAAAGGAATGGGGTCTAGATTAGTAGTGGATACTTCCAGGCATATGTAAGAAGGCTTAATATATGCCAATATAAGAGTCAAGAAAAAAGATGCATGTAACCTATTATTTTGTCCTTTTGGGGACTTGTCAATGCAGTGTAGTAAATGATTAAACAAACAGATTTTGTTTTTACAGTTCAAGAATATGTAAACTATTGCAAGATTAGGCATGAAATGCTTAAGAAGGCTCAGTAATTAGTTTTTTCCTGATTGTAAATAAACATAATAAAAATAAAATTAAAATAGCATACATACTTACTTATGAAATTCTCAAAAATATTCAAGCAAGAAAGTAAAATGGCATTCTTTGTAACATGTTCTTTGTCCAGTCATTAAAAATGAAAACTGGGAGGTAAATCCAGAACCATTTTTGACAAACATTCCTTATTAATTAAATTGCAGTGTTCAATGTTGGTTGAAATCATATCTAGGTCTCTCTTCATGTTGGCCATTGAATTTTGTGAAAGAATGTTAACTGTTTCTAAAACTATGTGGAGGCCACAGACCAGTAATCATCATCTTGTGATTAATGAATTACTTCAAGGTTTCATTCACCCTTCATTTTCTTTCTAACATTATTTTTATGGATTATTTGGAAATTTCGTACTATGTATCCTGATCACACTTGCTTCCCATTCCTCCCAGGTCCACCCTCCCACCCTTATTCTACCTCCTCCCCACCCCCACTAAAAATAGTACTCCAAGTACTATTTGTGTTGCCTGTACACTACTCATTGGAGCATGATCAAATTACCAGTGGCCAGCCCCTTAAAGATTGCTGAATCCTTTCCCATTCCTCACCCCAGGCAGAAGCCAACAACTGTGAAAAGCTATACTTCAGCATTTTTATTACAATTTTTAAGAACTCTCCTCTATTGCGGGTTTTTTTTATTGTTTTATTAATTTTTTAAAAGGGGGGTCTGGACTCAGTTATTAGGGTAAAATCTGATAGATCCACAGAGTGACAAAGAAAACAATCAGTGACCTCTACTCTGCTTGCTTTCCCCACTCCAAGGGCCCCACTCCTCTCCTATGGACCCTTGTGTTCCTCTTGTGTGTTTGTCTGTCTCCTCTGAGTCAGCTAGCAAACTCTACAGTCCTCTCTGGCCAGCTGAATTTGGACCCCACTCTCTGAGCCAAGGCCCAACTCCATTGGTGGTCTTGGAGCAACAACACAAGCAATTCTCCTGCAACACTCCTCATGGCTTCCTGTCTAGACTGTTTTTCTTTTTCTTTTTCTTTTTTTTTTCTTTTTTTTTTTTTTTTTTTTTTTTTTTTTTTTGTAGGGAGGTTGTTGCAGAAGCCTTTACAATTAAGAGTCTGGAGTCATCGATACTACCCCAGCAGATGCTTCCTTCCCTGTAACAGCCAGTAATAGCATATACCACAGACATCAATATGGTCTCAGCACAACATGGTTTCCAGTGACAGCATAGACCACAGACTTCCACGTGGCCTCTGGCTGCACCATGGAAGATAACCTTCAACATGATCCCTGGTGTCAGCATGGACAATAGGCCTCACCATGTCCTTGAAGCAGTACAGACCATGGAAATCAACATAGATTCTTGTGGCAGGGTAGACCACACACATTGGCATTGTCTGAGGGGGCAGTAGAGACCACAGACATCAACATAGCCTCAGACTGCAACACAGGCCACACATATCAACATGGCCTCCAGCAGCAACAAGGACCACAGACACCTACAGTAGCAGGATGGACCACAGACATCAACATGGCCTTCAGCAGCAGTATGGACAACAAACATCAACATGGCCTCAAGAAGCAGCCCAGGCCATGGACATCCACTTGTCTTCAGGAGATAGAATGAACCAAGAACCTCAACATGGTCGAAGGCTGCAGTATGGATCAGGGACATCAACAAGGCCTCAGGTGGAGCTCAGATCAGGGGCACCAACATGGGCTCCGATGGCAACATGGACCATAGACATCAACAAAGGCCTCTAGCAGCACAAACTACTGGCATCAGCATGATCCCCAGTGGCATCTTGGACAAGGGATGCCAACATGGCTTGAGGTGGCAGTACAAGGCATGGACCAAACCATGATGCATGAACATCAACATGGCCTCCAGTGGTAGCACAAACCACAGAAGCTAACAGGGCCCCTGGTGGTAACAGGAACCTTGCATATCAACATGGCCCCCAGCAGCAATCAGACTGTGGACACTAACGTGGCCTCAAGGGGCAGCACATAAACATCAACATAACCCCAGGCAAGAGCTCGGGCCAGGGACATCCATATAGTCTCCAGTAACAACATGGTCCACCAATATCAACACAGCCTGCAGCAGCAGACAGAACCAAGGACACTGAAAGACCCCCCACCACCAAAGGCCCAGACACAGTTCCCCCAGAAACCCAAAAGAGCTAAGAGAAGAGATATCTTAAAATAAACAGAATTGAGTCAGTTCCCCCTTCCTGGAGAGGGTGAAGTCAGGTGTTTTCAAAAGAACAAAGTCAGGATGTCTGGTGGTGACTGATTAACCATGAGATTCACTCTCCAGGGATAACATGACCAGACCCGGGGATGGGTTGCAAAACTCCTGACAGGGCAAACAGATAAGCTGAAATAAGACAAAGTCCAGGCCCGGGAAAAACTGGACCAATCAAGGATGGACCTGTACTAACCCCCTCCCCTCTAAAAATTTTGTGGTTGTTGCCTATAAAAACTAACTTCCCCAAGAAAGAGTAACTCTTCCCTGCCTAGCTGCATTGGGTGTGGTGGACGAGAGTTCCCTGCTAGCTTGAACTACGTACATGCGCTGAATCAAATAAACCTTGCTATTGCATTCTGGACATATTCGGTCTCCAGTGGTCTCTGTGGGGGTCCTAATCTGGGCAGAACAGACACCAGGAAAGCCCCAACTGTAGCATGGAACACATATAGTAACATGGAGTCTGGTGGCAGCACACACCATGGAGATTCTTTGAGAAGGCCTAATCCTGAAAATGAACCATTCTCCATCTTGGATATCCTGCCATTACTCAGATCCTTGTGCATTAGGGGGGAGAAGTGGGGAGAGATCCAGGCTGCTGCTTACCACCCTGCCAGTGCTAGGTTTTTTTTGAGGAGGCACAACCCAGAAAATGAACTGTTCTCTGTCATGGACAACCTGATGTTGCTCAGAGCCAGGGTGATCATAGACTATCAATGAAACTGCTCTGGGATATCCTGTGGTTGCCCAGAGATGGGGTGATCTTTTGGCTGGGCAGGGTATCTGAGGCAGGACCCACTACTGTACATCTCTCTGTCCTCAGTGAAGGCCACCCTGCTGGCTCATTAGATATGACCATTGTACCTGTGGCCCTAGGGCAGCTCCATAGCAGTGATGGCTCCAGCTGGAAACCAAAAATCCACCCTCTGAGCCACCATCTTGAATCAATCTTCAAATATTTTTTAAAAGGTTCTGATAACAGAAATTACAGATGTGCCAGGGCACATTTACCAGGGATACAGCCATTCTCTCTGACACTCTTCCCTGATTTTCTAACAGCAGGACACCACTGTGGCTTTGGCTTGAGTTGCAGAGGGTGTGGCATTGGTGACTGAGGCTCCTCCTTGGTAGCTATAGACCAGCGATGAGTCTATACCCTGTAGTGGGTAGCCATTCCAGCTTGGATCTGGAAGTTCCAACCCCCATTGAGACTCTGGCAACTGTCACGCATACGCATACGAGGCGGGGCCAGGGGAGGCACCTGGGGACCTGAGAGCTGGATGGGCCAGCGCTCTCTATTCTATTACAGCAGTATTTTTGGTTTGTTCTACCGAAAAACTTCACTTCACGCTGAGGGTGAAATTATCGAATTTAGCTGCTGTAAAGCTCTTCGCCAAAAATTGTACAGCTATTAGGTGATATTTTAAGGATTTTAAAGTGACTTGTTTGCTCTTATAGGTAGCTTTTTGTCATCCAACTACCGTAAAAACTTTGCACAGCTATTAGAGTAAATAAGGCATTTTACCAACAGAGCCCCAAACCATGAAGCACCTAGTTCCGTATCTTTTCAATTTTTCATTGGAACTGACATTTAGACGATTTTCCTCCTTACTCTTTTAAAAGCTGTTTTTTAAGTTTACCATGAATGTATTTTCAAGCTGACAAAAGTGTTTCAGGGCAATGTCGCCATCTTTATCGGAAAAGCTACCTTTCCCAGAATGCATTTCCCTTATATCAGTCCCTAATAATATCAGTCCCTTGTATCAGTCATTTCCCATAGTTTTTTTTTGGGTCTGAGAGTCAACTGGTTCTCTTTTACCAGACTTGCGTGGGACGTTTGAACAAAGTTTCTTGCCTTTGCAACGAGAGATTTGAACACGCATTTTACATTTTCAGCTATGGCACATTGGGAGGTTTCTATTCGCTCCTCAGCTGGCTTCAACAGGTGTCTCTCCTTCATTTGACACTGGCCCCAGATCAGAACCGCACCTGCCTTGTTAACACGCATTGAGGCTGCCATTTCTAATAGCAACTTTCCTCGGGGCTTGTGTTTGTTTTAGCCAGTCAGTGAAAAACAAGATCATTTGCAACAGAGCTTTTCCATAGCTCCTTCAGAGAGATTTTCTCCCACTGATCTTATTCTCATTTTGCTTGTTCCTTCCCCCCCAGATGCAGAGCTTCAGGTATCTGTCTGCAGCTCTGTTCCTCTGCTAGCTGCCTTTGGAGGTAGGGGCTTTTTTTTCTCCCCTGAATCTGCCTCAAACTCTAGCAGCTTTGTCAGGTCATGCATTTTCTGGGGAGGAATCTGTCCCCTCTGTTTCTTCAGAGTCTTTCTCCCTGACAGTTCCCAGTTTGGTCTCAATTTATCTCTTCTACCCCAGAAACTGTTTCCGACACTACAGTGGCGGCTTTCCCTGCTACTGAAGGTAGGGCTTTTTGTCCGTTTGTTTTCGGGGTCTGTATGGTTTGTATACAGACTGAAAATCTAACAAGGGAGTTTTTTGCCATCTCTAAACTCCCATTAGGACAGGTGTTTTGCCTCATCAGGCCTTCACCTGGCCCAGTCCCCCAGTGGGTTGCATTTGCTTGTCTGGGTGCTCAAGGACAGAGCTTATGCCAGAGGCAATCACCCCTCAGGGCTACACTCCCTCATCTCACCCGAGTCAGTTGAAACAAAGCTTTTCTCAATAAGATGCTTTCTCCGATGGAAAAGAAAGCTTTACTCCTGGATAGTTCTGTTCTGCCCTGGCTGGGCTCTTTCCCCAGACAGCGTTCTGACTCAGCAGCACAACTGCTTCAGACACAGTTCAGCTTTACTGTTTTCCCAGAAAGGTCCTTACTCTGATAGGAAAGCTTTTCTCAGATTTCTTTTTGCAGCTGTGGACCTATCAACTTGGGACTTGTAGGAAAGCAGACAACTGTGCTGTTCCCACTGGCTTTAGTTTTGTTCATTAGCAATCTTCCCCTGGGTCCTGCACCTTCCTGCCTCAGCTCTGTGCCCCAGGAAGTTTACAACTGCAGGAACCCTAGTATCCCCCAAATGCATTCTAACTCAGAGATGCTGGCCAGTCACCTCTGGGTTTTTGCTCAGAAGCGAGGATTCAATGCTAACAGTTTGCATTGCTACAGGAGATCTTTGCTTAGGACGATTAGGAGCACCTTTTCATTCTGAAGCGCTCACTCAAAACCTTTGCTGCCTCAGCTCGGCTGTAACTGAAAAGCTTGACTTTTTGCTTTTCTCAGGTAAAGTTTCCGGCCCTTTTGGGCTCTCTGTAGCTCTTTACCCACTCTCCCAAGCGTTTCCCTCAGGGTACTCTGAGCCACTGTCTTTTACTAGCTTGAAGAGACAGAGCTTAGAAGAGGTTTTTAGAAACTTGTCCCTGCCTCCTGCATTGCAGGGAGGATTGTTAAAGCTTGAAAGAACTTAGGTTTTGCTGTCTTAAATTTGTTGTTTTCCCTTAGAGCTAATCACAGGTGGTCCCCATACTAATATCTTTAGGTGATTCTAATTTTTGTCCTTCTGAGAGAAAGTTAAAGGCTTTAGTTTTTAAGTTTAAGAGAGCTTTTAAGAAAGATTAAGGCTTTTTAGAGAGATTTTCCCCCCCAAATTTTCCAAGTTTTATAGTTTAAGAGAAAGATTTTTTTTTCCCCAGTAGAGAGACCAACTTTTCCCAAAACTTCTGAACTTTAAACTTTTTGGCTTTTTACACCCCCATTTTTGCCTCAGGGAGAAATTACTTTCTCCTGCCGCTTGGACTTAGCATTTCAGCTGTCCCCAGGTCAAAAGCTTCCATAGGAAACTTCTTCCCCATAAGCTCAAAGAAGAGCTTTTTTACTTCCCATAAAGCCCAAAGTAAGATTTTTTTCCCCCAGTTTGCTTTCATAGCCCCTAAAGTTAGAAAATTGAAGTTTTTCTGTCTAGTTGCCTTACTTATCTTTTCTACACAATCTTACACTTCTAGGTTTTTCCTAACTATATTACTACCCTATACCTTATACTTATTTTTCACAGATAGAAACTGAGAAAGGGATAGAAGATAGAAAATTTTGACAGAAGAGAATTTCGCTGCAGCATAGGACATCCTTCCAGTCTGCTTTCCTTTTCTCTCGAGGATAAAACCCCTGCCTCTCAAAAATATATATAAAAAATATATATTTTCCATAACACCGGCATGCTTTTCCACTGGCAGGGCTGACAGCACTTTCACCAAAAACTCTGTAATAAAACTATTATTTTCCTTTATCTTTAGTCCCTATTACTTTGTCTTTAGTCCCCCCTTTTTTTTGTTCCCCCCTTTTTTTCTTTAGTCCCTTTTTTTTTTTTCTTTTTTCTTTAGTCCCTGTTCAGGCACCATTCTGTGGGGCGTTTACCCACCACCCCCACAGTTCCCCAGAGTTTTCTTGAGTTTGAGCAGCAGGAAAGTGCAGACCATCTCAGACACCTGCACTCAGGCCCGTGGTCCTGATCATCCTCTATTCGGACCTGCTGGGTAAAGCCACTAGGAACCCGAGAACGGGCTCCCACAGTTGACATATTATACACCCCAATAAATTTATCTGGGGGTCAGGGAACAGAACAGCCACTATATTAAACATCAAGGTTAGGCAGTGGTTTCACATGCCTTTAATCCTAGCATTCAAGGCCACATTGGAACAGCCAGGCATGGTGACACACGCCTTTAATCCCAGGAAGTGATGGCAGGAAGCAGAAAGGTATATAAGGCGTAAGGACCAGGAACTAGAGGCTTTTAAGGTTTTAGACTTTTAGCAGCAGTTCAGCTGAAATCCATTCAGATGAGGACTCAGAAGCTTCCTGTTTGAGGAAACGGGATTGGCTGAGAAGTTGTCGAGGTTAGCTGCAGCTTGTTCTGCTTCTCTGATCTTTCAGTGTTCACCCCAATACCTGGCCCAGGTTTTTTATTAATAAGACTTTTTAAGATTCATGTTACAGACCCACAAGTATAGTTCTCTCTGATAGTTTTCATCTTTGACTGTGGGAGTCCAGCTCCTACCTGTTGATGGGTTCTTGGAGGGAAGAGAGAGGAATGAGAAAGTATTAGAAATATAGATGGAGGCAACAAAAGATAGAGACAAAGGATCGCTCAATGAAAGACCCTAACCCTTCAGGCTTACACCCCCCAAGCCCCAGGAGAATAAGGAACTAAAAAGAAAACTAGTTCCAAGGGCAACCTGACTCAGCCATTATTCAACCACCCCTGCCACAATGTAACAATATAAAGAGATTTCTGTTAAGAGATGTGCTCAACTGTGACTGGGATAGTTGCAAGTGTTCCAGGAAGGACCACTGTAACCTTTGTGTAAATTCCACTCCAGCCCTGATAACCCCCTTGAGGTTTCAGGAAGAATGTGCACGCAGATGTGACTGGACCCACTCTGTGATCACCCTGTGATCAGGCCATGAAATTGTATGGGAATTGTAATCTTGTGGGGTTTGTGGGGTTTTCCTTGAAAAGCATCCATATGGCTGCAATAAGATGTGACTCTTGCTCTCTGGAGCTGAGTTTGCCCAACTGTACAGCCACATTAATAAACACCTCTTGCTGTTCCATCAACTGGATCGGAGTCTGGGTTCTTGGGGCACCCACTCAAGACCCTAAACTTTGGGGTCTAACACAAGAGGGCCCTGAGTCAATACCCAGATGCCTTGAGCTTATTTCTAATGGGCTTTTTAAACACTAGCAAGGGGAGAGGCAAAAGATATCCCCCTTTCAAGATCAAAATACAAGGTACCAACAAGTGTAGACCCTTCAAATGCCTGGTAACCATGCCTTTGGCCAAATCATATAATGCAGCCTTGCTGGGCAAAGCAAGATCAGGCTTTCTGAACTTAAGGCCTTACTAGGAAGCATCTGTGGGCCCCCACATTTGATGTCACCACAGATTATGAATTGATTTTGATAATTTTATAAGATAAAGAAATGAGGCTGCTACTATAGACAACACGTTACAGATCTCTCATGATTGCTTTCAAACAAGCTGTGAAACTACTGGGCACTGTAAATAGCTGTTGGGCTTGCTACAAATCCACTTCCTGGGCATGTACTCCCTGCCACTGCTGATCCCTCTGTCACTCAGGTAGGCATATTGTCCTTCTCCTCGGATGGGAACCCTAAAACAAAAAACAAACAAAATTTCTGCAGAGTCTGCCATTGCATTCACTTCTACAATGATAGCTCACTCGTCTCCACTGCTTATTTATAACATGGATCACACAAAGGCAGAGTCCAGGAGGAATCACCAACACGAGATTTATACCTAGTGACTTTTGCATTCTCAGGGTTTGATGTGATGGCCAGACCTTTGACATTCGTCCATGTTGAACCCTGAACTGTGTCTACAAAGCATTGACTGGTACCTGCTGCCATGTTCAAATGAACTTCAGGCATGGGTAGCACCACAGGGTGACCATCAATTCTATCTTGAAGTATTTTTCACATGTATAAAAGTGGGAGGAAACGTACCACTTAGTAAATTGCTGAAAGGTCTTTAATGATGGACATGACTGGGGATGTGTTTCACTGTTCCAGTGAAATGGGCCTGTTCAAATGGCTATGCTCACATCCAGGAGCTGTCTGGGGTGCTCTTTGATGATGAGACTTCAGAGGAGGTTCCCAAAGCCCCTGGAGTCTCTGCTTCTGTGACAGGTGCAGCTGTGCAAACAGCTGTCTGACAAGTCCCAGCTGTTCTGCAGTGGCTTCCTGGGGTTTCAGAGCCCTTAGGAGCCATCAGCAGTTCTGCCTACATCCCACAAGGGCAGTCATCAGCAAGGAAAGATTTTCAAGTGCCATAGAGCAAAACATCTACCCCAGGTGCCACCATCATCCTTAAGATTTGGAGTAAAACAACACTAAGTAAATCCAATGGATTTAAATTTGTCCAGATGTGGAGTTCACTGGAGATTGACTGTGGCATGTACCACCAACCTATCCCCCAAGGCACACCTCCAGCCTAAAGGTTTATGTTTCCAGTACAACTGGCTCCACATGACACTGCCTTTCATTTCTCATAACCACAACTCACACACATCACAACACAAGAAAAGAGGTCTGAAAACATACGAGTCGTTATATTTAGTGTTGTCTGTCCACGTCCATGGGTGTTGTGTTGACTCTCTGTGCAGGCCAATCCAGTAGGCAGAATCATTCTTGTGTCCATTTAGGAAATCCTGTCATAATACACAGGAAGCAAATACATGTGTCTCTCAGCTTCAGATGACCATGGAGTCTCTGCCCTACAGCCTCCTCTCAGGATGGCAGCAGGTTTGAACTCAGGATAATCGACTAAATAGCCCTCAGTTCTCAGTGGATGCATTTTACTACCGTAATCCATAGTACACTGACCACCACCCACCCTTCTGAGCAAGTCCCTTGTTAAGCCTGTATTCGCAATTATTAATAGTTGTCACCTTAAGTATGCAACACCTGCCAGCTTGAACAAAGACTGACATGACCACCATGTCTCTCTGTCAAATATATGTTTGGCCATGCAGGTTGACTATTAGCATTACAGGACAGAATATCTTTGGAATGTCTCAGGGCTCCAGACAGATGTGTAATCATCACAAATGGCACATACTACCATGTGCCCCATGTCCCTCAATGGCTAGGGTGGGAACCTTCCTCATGCCTCAGCTTTAAGCTCTCTATCTCAAGGCAATACACATTCAACAGAACAAACAACAAACAAAGTCCTGATAATTTCTTACCAGCTCCTCCAGGCTCTCAAATTGAGCTAGTTGGGCATTTTGTTCCACACAGAATTTCTGGCTGGATATCCAGTCTGTTAGGTCTTCAGAAAAATAGAAATATTTACTCCCATTTCCAATCCAGTCAATTGAGCAAGCAGTATGGTTATTTTCATTCTTTCCTCCTCCTGTAATGACAACATAAAGAAAACTCTTCACTTCTCTGGATTTAATTATGGTTAAATACCAGCATGCAAATCATGACATGGTCAAAATAGGTTTTTGATACCAAAACTTTGATCAAGGATTTCCTCTTATCATGTACACACACATGAAATCCATATGAAAATATACTGGCTATCATTAGAGGATGTCAGAACGGCAATCATTAAGAAATCTCACAACAGATGTCAGAACTCTGGGCAGAAATTGGGACAATTATTCACTTCTGGAGAAAGTATAACTTGTACATCCAGTATGGAGTCTCCTTTAAAAATTACAAATCGACCTTTTGTGTCTAAGCTATAACACTCCTGGGCAAATATCAAGAGAACACTACATCATAACACAGAGATACTTGCACATCCATGCTTATTAATGGCTCTCTATTTACAATAGTAACAAAATGAACGAAATAGATGCCCATCAATTGACTAACAGAACATGACAATGAATTACATATATAAACTCAGACATAAAGAACAATGAAAGTTGCAGCAAAGTGGAGGACCTAGAAAATATAATATTAAATAAGGTCACACAAACTCAGAAAAGACCCCATGCACTCCCCCATATGCTTATCCTAACCCATAATGTACAGTGTAAACAGCTGTGAGTATGGGCATAGTGTAACACCAAGAACAAGGAAGAGTAGCATAAGGTGAAGAGGAAGGACAGGATGCAGCAAAGGGCACATAAGCTATGAACAGGGTTATAACGAGCATTATTTTTCTAGTTTCAACTTTGCTGGTGGTTTTTTTTTTATATACTTTGTGGCTGATAAGTGTATAACAATGTAAATACAGCAAAAGTCTAAAACCATAACCCAAGTTCCTTGGCTTCAGGTTGTCTATTCTCACTGTGTGGAAGTTCATTGAGATATATAGGGTTTGGAACTTTCAAGTGCTGGAGTGGTTATGTTGATGGAGCTTTGTGATATGTTCATTTGTGAGTCTATTATAATAAGCTGGGGTGTGTGTTTGTATGTTTGTTAGTGTGTGTGTGCATGTGCGTGTGCGTGTGCATGTGTGTGTGTGTGTAAGAATTTCTGAATGTGTGTGTGTGTGCACGACTATGTGTAAGAAACCCTGAATGCAGCAAGTTTTCAGAGGGCTGCTTAGAAAAATAAAAATATTTTTCTTTCATAACTTTGTATTTTTCTCCTTTAACAGATAAGAATGAATGCATGGCTCTTTGAAGGGATTTTGAGCCTAGAAATGAGTGATTTGATAAGAAATATTAAATACTAGAAATGACCCACATGCACACACACACTCACTTATTTTTAGTGTAGGGCAACTTGTTATAGCTGTTCCCTGTTCTCGTGTGCAGGACCATGAGGCTTTAATGAAAGGGACAAATACAATAGGAAAGGAAGATCACTGTGTCTTCTTTTTATCTGACTCTTTTCACAGTTACATAACAGTTTAGGTTACACTGACTGTCTTCTTGGGAAATGTTTGTCCAAGTTTAGACTTGTATATTATTCATTGACATGGTTAAAGTTGATTTTATAAAACAGTATCATGAATCATTTATTCTAGCTATGGCAGGAAAGCTATACAATATTTTATCACATTATTCAAAAGAGTCTAAAAATGAGAGCTTGGGAATCACATATTTCTGGAACATTCGATTTAATATTTTCAGACCATGGTTGAAGATCATGGTTGGGGTGGGGTTCTGTACTTTGCCCAACCACATTGCTCTTCACTCCCCTCACTTTCCTTAGCTGCAGCAGCCTCCTTGAGGCTACTCCTTTGGGTTTTCCTTTCCTTGTTCTCTGACTTCAGTTGGTCTCCCATGTGGACATATGTCTCCAGCATCTCTCTAGAGGTTGCTGAATGCCATCTTCCCAGGGATGCTGAGCCTGGCCTCCTGTGCACACCACAGCCTGTGCTGATCCTTCACTGCATCTTCCTGCTAGACTCCAAGTTCCCAGAGAACAGGAATTTCCAGTGAGTTTTCTCTCCAGCCCTTCCCACAGTGCCTGGCTCACAGTGGTCATAAGTAAAAGTGACAGCGTGGATGCGGACAGAACACTGCAGAACCTGGACATGAGTCACTCACCTGACAGTGAAAAAACTAAGGGCAACACAACTGCAGCTACAACAACCATAAAGATGATGAAGATGATCCCTGCCCGGCACCAGAGACGCTTAACAGAGTCGATGATTCTGTGAAATTTTCCTTGGAGCTTTTCACCTGTAAAATATGAATATAAGAATGCGAACTTCTTAAGAAAAACGAAAGAAACTGACCACAAAAACCCACTTCACAACTGCCCACAAGTACCTGAAAGGAAACTGCAAACACCTTTCAGAGAAGGTCCTGGTCCATAAAGGATGCTATGGTGGAAAGAAGACTAGAGAGGGTGGAAACAGAACCTTGACCAGGGTCTTCCAGTTCCTGAACTAAGGGTGAATCATCAAAGAGCAAGAAACAACAGGAGTGAGGAGCAGTGGGAAGCAACAACAACAGTCAGCTGGATTTCTCTCCATAAAGTGTTCTGGTTAGAAGGAGGAACAGACACATTAGGGGAAAATCAGTGTAATTAGACCTATGAACAAACTGAGAAAAGAAGAAAAATAGAAATATCTCAATAAACACACCAAAAGTGTGTGAAAATTAGGAATCAGAGGAACTTCCTCAACCCTACAAAAGTTATCCATTACAAACAAAACAATAAATCCAACTGCAGTCTGCTTGATTCTTAAAGGTGCAGTTATAAAGGCTTTATCAACAATCAGGAGCAGGAGTAGGATGTCTGCTCACTACTACAGGATGACTTTTCACAGGAGGACCTCACCAGAGCAAAGAAATGGGGTCATGTGGGTGGAGAATGGCTCAGCAGTTAAGACCATTGGCTTTTCTTCCAGAGGACACAGGTTCAATTCCTAGCACCTACAAAGTAGCTTTCAACTGTGCACAACTTGAGTTCCAGGAGACCCATCACATTCTTCTGGCTTCTATAGTCACCAGAATGCATGTGATGAACAAATGTGTGGGAAAAACAGCCATACACATAAAAAGAAAGTTTCTTAACGAAAGATGGAAAGTTTACACTTCTTGAAAACAGACGAAAGTGTTTCTCTTCACAGATGACATGGTCCTATGTGCATAAAAATTCTAACAACTCTACAAAAGACTACTGGATGTAAAAAATGAGTTTACAAAGCTGCAGGACACAATGTCAGCATGGCAAAGTCAGTTGCATTTTACTGTCAAAAGGAAGTTAACGTGCAAGACCGCACCATTTACAGTAATGCCAAAAACCATAAAATTATAAATCTAAAAAAAAGTTCATAATCAGCATAATAAAAACTACATGTAAAATTATGAAGAAATCAGGACAGGGCTGGAGGGTTAGCTCAGTGGTTAAGAGCACTTGTTGCTCTTGCAGAGGATCTGGGTTTGATTCCAGCACCCACATAGTAGCTTACAATCATCTTTAATTTCAGTTTCAAAAATCTGATACTTTTCCTGACCTTGGTGGGCATTAGGAATGCATGTGATGCATAGATATTTCTGCAGGGAAAACACTCATATGCAAAAAATTTTAAATTAAAAAAAAAGAAAGAAAGTAATCAAGTGTAGTGGGTAGCCATTCCAGCTTGGTTCTGGAAGTTCCAACCCCCATTGAGACTCTGGCAACTGTCACGCCTACGAGGCGGGGCGAGGGGAGGCGCCTGGGGACTGGAGAGCTGGATCGGCCAGCACTCTCTCTGGGCGCTCTCTCGGTGCTGGGACGCTGACCGGTGAAGATTGACTGTGCAGAGCTCCGGAGAACACCGCTGGACTGCGTTACACCTTCCCCAGACCCTGCAACCTACCCATTACTTAATTTGTGAGTTACGCCATTAAATAAATATCCTTTTAACTACGTGGAGTGGCCAAAATAATTTCTCCAATAATCAAGGCAGATCTAAACACATAATTGTTGCAGGATATTTGTTCACACAGACACTCCAAGACTGCCAATCATGGGCAAAGCTAGTGACTAGCTGACCAGAATTAGCCATGGATGTTTTGTAGGGAGAGAGAGAGAGAGAGAGAGAGAGAGAGAGAGAGAGAGAGAGAGAGAGAGAAGGGAGGGCCTAAGAAAGATTCCCAGGCCATTTTGGATTGGGGAAGGCAAGAGATAGGAGGCGATTGTTCTCTTCTCCACTGCTTCTCTGATCAATCACGTTTTTTACCCCATTACTTGACTGTGGGGCATTTACCCACCAACCCCACAGTTCCCCAGAGTTTTCTTGAGTGTGAGCAGCAAGAAATATTAGATAGAAGGATTTAGATTATGGAGATAAACAGATAGAAAATAAAGGATAGCCTCGAGAGGGCCTGGAACCTATTCCAATGAGCCCTGACTGTTTCTGCCCCAGAATATTTATGGAGACGCCAAGGGGTGGAGCAAAAGACCTCCCCTACCCCCACCCCCACCCCCGCCCCAAGCACAGCCAAGTGCAGACCATTTCAGACATCTGAACTCAGGCCCCTGTCCCTAATCATCCTCTATGCGGACGTGCTAGGTAAAGCCACAAGGAACCTGAAAATGAGCTCCCACAGGTCCCCCTTTCTTAATATATAAAAAATTACTCATTATTAATAGTTTACAGCATTCTCCATAGCTGTTACACCTCCCAGTATTGGAGTAGAAGATGATAAAGATGGTATTTCTTTTTTTGATTAGGTCCAAGATGATTACAGCAGTCTTAGGTGCATCAAGCCCTTTCTAAACCAAAAACTTAATGCAATCGCACACTTAAAGAATCCCTTAGCATCATCATTACCATTACCAGGTTAATATAAATATTGCTATTCATATTCACAGCTCTCCCAATCTTACACAACTCAAAGCAAATTCTTTTTTTTTTTTTTTTTTGGTTTTTTCGAGACAGGGTTTCTCTGTGTAGCTTTGCGCCTTTCCTGGAGCTCACTTGGTAGCCCAGGCTGGCCTCGAACTCACAAAGATCCGCCTGGCTCTGCCTCCCGAGTGCTGGGATTAAAGGCGTGCGCCACCACGCCCGGCTCAAAGCAAATTCTTAACAGAACCATTTGAATTAGCATATATGGTGCTATATATAGTTAACAATTTTCTCAATCTTACAACTTTAACTCTTAATAGAATCATTTGAATTTTCTTGCTAACAGAAAAATAGGAAAAACTTTGATGTATTCACATCAAACTTAAATATTTCCTTAACTCCACAAAACCAGGGTATATTAATATCAATAGGTTAAACATAATTTCTGCAAACATGCATTTAAATAGACTAAGGAATATTAACTCTCCCCTTTCTTTATAATTTTTTAAGCAAAATCTCTAGCCTAGTTAGAAAACCCAAACTTTTCCATTTAAACAGTTCCATCTGCAACACAAAACCAGTTCCATAAAACAATTCATGAATCACCAGTTAATAAAGCATATATGCATACATAAATTACATCTTGATTCTAGGTAGAAACAATAAATTTCTGAATTTAAACAGTTCCAGAAAACAGTTCCTAGGTCATTACTATAAGTACATTCAAAAGTATCCCATTGCAATGAAATCACTATTGTTCATTTCATTTATTAAGTCCCAAAATTCAAATACATTATGGTACTAGCCTTCCAAATATGAAGAAATTCATAACCAAAATCTTTTTGTAGTTTTAACTCATTATTTTAAGTTCAAAAAAAGTAAATTCTCATATCAGACTTCAACTTCCAAATATGAAGAGATGTTTTACAACCAGAACTTTTTGCAGTTAAAATTTTACTTCAAGCAAGCATCTCTGCAACTTTTGTTCTCAAGAACAGAGATCTTTTCAGTTACAGTAGTATTTTAAACCCCATCATTTTTGGTGTTAGCTCAGGTTTTTCTGTGTTGTGTTGATTTTCCACGGATCTCAGCTGTGAAAGCCTTGTTGTGCTGGTTCTGGCGTCTGCCATTCTTAGCTTCTTAGTGGTTTCTGGAGCTTTTGAAACCATTCAGACTGCCTACTTTGCAGTCTACTGGGACACTAACCTTCTGTGTCTCAGGTTCATTCACCATATACATTAAGAATAGAATCACACTTAACATTTACACGTTTTTACAAACTCACATATAACATATTTTGCCTTGCAAAGCATTTAGACTCACATTCAACTGTGGTATTGTATTGCCCCAAATATTGTGCATGCTAATAAACTTATCTGGGGTCAGAGACAGAGCAGCCACAATATTAAACATAAAGGATAGGCAGGGTAGCACATGCCTTTAATCCTAGCATTCCAGAGGCAGAGATCCATGTGCTCAAGGATACAGCCAGGCATGGTGACTCATCACGCCTTTAATCCCAGAAAGCAAGCCTTTAATCTGAGGGAGTGGTGGTAGAAAGCAGAAATATATAAGGCGTGAGGACCAGAAACTAGAAGCATTTGGCTAGCAGCATTTGGCTGGTTAAGCATTTGGCTGGTTAAGCATTCAGGCTTTTGAGCAGTTCAGCTGAGACCCATTCAGGATGAGAACTCAGAGGCCTCCAGTCTGTGGAGACAAGACCAGCTGAGCATCTGGCGAGGTGAGGTAGCTGTGGCTTGTTCTGTCTCTCTGATCTTCCAGTGTTCACCCCAATAACTGGCCTCAGGTTTGATTTTATTAATAAGAACTTTTAAGATTCATGCTACATCTTACACTTTTTTACAAACTCACATATTAACATCTACTTATCTATACTTCTTAAGGAAACTATAGAACTACTTTAGCAAATATATTTCTTATTTACTTCTTATTTTCATCTTTTACAACTAGAATCTTTACTTATTTACTTATATTTACATTTACAAATTCTTATTTAAACTTACATTTATAGCTAGCATCTTTACTTCTTACAAGCTTATTACTACATGTCTTAAGACTGTCCTAGATACTTCTTGCAAGCTTATATTCTTAAAGGAACTCTATAGATCTATTTTACAAACTTATATAGGGCTACCATTAACATATATTTAACTTAGCAAACACCTAAAGATTTCTTAACAGAGATCTAACAAAACAAAATAATTTCTACAAACTCATATATCTTATTTTCATTTTTTTCTACTACTTACTGTTAATTATCAC